CCGCGGGGAAAGAGGGGAGAAGGCAGCGCCTGGGGGGATGCCTGACCCCACGCCCCCTGTGGGGGCAGGCGGTCAGGGGGCCGCGGGGTACGGGACCAGGGTATAGTGCCCTGGCGAGTGAAGCTTCACACTGATCCCTGCTCAGGGTTGGGGGCACTGCCTTCCTGTTATATTGCTTCTTCTAGGCAATCCTTGGTTAAAGTAATAAGCTGTTCTGATCATAATTATGTATTTCTAACATATTTATACACTGTATAAATGTATAAAAACATGTTTATGAGGTCTGTACTTGCAACTTATTACAAGTTGTAACTTATTTTTTAATACTCTTACTTCAGGCTTTGAAAATTTCTATAGCTCTTCTTAAAATGCTTTATAAAATTTGATTTTTATTTCAGCTGCTGTCCCTAGAGTTGGACACGCTATAGTGAAACCATCTCCATGCCACTCTCCACAGAAGCACCCCCACCTGCCGGTCAGGTCCCCCTGTGCCCATCCCTGGCATGGCAGGTCCCGGCCGGCAGCCCCGGGACTCAGCTGGGTCCCCAGCCACGGCGCAGCCCCCACCGAGTCCCCCGCTGCCCCAGCAGCCGCCCAGTCCACGCGGGTGCGTTAATCTCTCTGCTGCCGAGCATAATGCCCTGCACTTATCTGTATTAAACGCACAATCCCGAGCTGTGTGGAGCAAAGGGAGGTTACAGCAATAGCAAGCGGTGCAGAGGTACAGAACAGCCATTTAAAAGAAAACAAACAATGTTGTTCATGTCACCAGTTTTAAAGCAGAACGTTCCCGCATTACCCAGCCTCACCACCTCTGGGATCAGAACACGGGTTTAATACATTTTCCTCTGGCTCAGACACTGTTTTAGTCAAACCTCCTATTTTTCAGGAAAATAAGAGAAGCATTTCTAAAAACCTTCAGTAGGTGTTTTCTGCTCAGAAAAGCATTAGGTTCCCATGATGAATTAGTACACTTCACACAGTTCGCATTTTTAAAGTTTTTTTCAAAACCTCTTAGGTAGTTTTCTATCAGGATGTGCATTTCAGTTAAATCTGCATGCTGGTCAACAAGTGCCTCACAACATTACACAAGGAAAGTCTGTCCTGATCTTCTTCACAATAAATTTATTTTGCCTTATTCCAAACTAAAGGAATGTAGGATGCGAATTCTGACCCAGTAATTCTCCAGCAATTCTACTAAAACTCATTTAAAATTCGTCCTCTTTCAAAATGATCTTAAAATCCACCCTAGCTTGTCAGATTCCACACTAGCCTCTTAAAAAAAGTATTCCCCAAAATTTTTCAGCTATGTATCTATTCACCTAAAATCTGTTTGCATACACAGATATAGCTCATCTCAAGCAGGACAAATTAGCAGCGGTTAATAACCCGCAAGGTCCTATTTAAAGGTTTTTAAGCAGAAAAATGCAAGCCTTATGCAGGTACAGATTGAGTTGGAAAACATCTGTAAGTGATATCTAAGTAATCATATATTTCGTCCCATAAGAGCACAGTAATTTTCAAATGCATGATCCAATTAGCAAGAGTCTAAACAATAGCCTTCCGGCTAACGGCACTCCCGCTCCTTACTGTCTTCTACTTAAGGTAATTGAAACCCCATCAGGGAAAGATTCATTAAGGTACTTAATTGGTTTTAAGTGGTTCACCCTCCTCTGACAGCATTTAAATGTAGTGACTTATGAACAGCACGACCGGGGAGAGCCTTGACTCCCTCCTGTGCTGCTTGGCCAGCAGCAACCGCCTTTGTGCCCGGAAGCCTGCAGGCAGCACCTCCGGGCAGGAGGCAGCGCAGGGTGGGCAGAGTTGGGCAGGAGATGCACGGGCATCCTCAGCAAACGTGCTTACCCGCAGCACCTGCAACGAAAGCCCGAGGGACGCCTCCAAGCTCCTCTTCTGATCCACCTTCACATTTCTTAACTTCTGGAAGTGCACTGGAGTGACCCCTGTGCTGTGGTCAATACTGGCATCCCTGAACGCAACAGGAAGGATCCCAAACCAGCCATTTCAGTGTGCTTCCAAATATAGGCAAGCTCTCCGAAAAATTTGGCGTGGCAGGTCGGGCATTCCCTGCTGTTTTCATCCTCTCTTGGAATAAGCTGGAAAGGGAGCCGGCATCCCGTCAGCCGTCACGGGATGGAGGAGCAGCCCTCCCTCAGTT